GATTACAAGTAATTGATTACTGTAATCAAAATTGTAATCATGATTACAGCTGTAATCAAAATTTTTTGAAAGTTGTAATCACGATTACAAGTAATTGATTACTTGTAATCGTGATTACAAGTAATTGATTACATAGCTGTAATTATCTGTAATCAATTACAGTTGTAATCGATTACTGTAATCAACGGCCAACTCTGGTTAATACACCTCTCACATTCAGCACTCAAAAAATCCGGTGACTCTCTCCCGGTCTTTCACAAGTACATCAACTAGTGAGATCTGTTCACCGAATTATATCCCTGATAAAATTCTGGTGGGGGAGTACTGTGGCGTAGATCTATCGACAAAGCCCAGCTTATTCTCTCCCTGGTTATTTCAGTTTCCGTTTTTAAAAGCGCTATATGCTGAGCCATCTTAGCTAGATTTGGCATGTGACATTTTTAGCGGTAATCATTGGTCTATTTTCTAGCGTTGCCATTCGGGGAGTTGTAATGAGGCTTTTTTTTTATCGCCGTGTAAGAGAAATATATATATAGATTATGAGCATGCATTTAAAATAATACAATTAAGGATGTACCCTGACTTGACAGGTGGCAGCGGGCATCTTACTCTTTCATCTAAGATTCACATAAGTGATTGAGACTCGAGTTAACTAAATAAAGCGCGATATGCAGTCTTTTTATTAGAGCAGTTTTTCTTTTTATTAAAAAAAAGTGGTTTAAAAACAGTTTCATTATTAAGATTTATTTCGATGAAAAAAGGTAGTTCTACATGTGTACCATAGAATGCTGACAATATAAATATTTAGATTTTAATCTGATCCGATCAGTCTCCATAGTGATCACGGAGCTTAGCCTAATATCAAAAAAGTCTTGGGTTCGAATCGGGGTCAAACGCATAGACGTTCTTCTTACTTTGCCGCCCCCTGAAAGAGTGGTCAACACATCTACGCCAGCTTGAAAAAACGTAACATTATTGTACATACTTCAATCTAATGTTCTTATAGTGTTTTCAGTCTAACGCGCTCTCAATCTAACTTTCAACGAAACAAACGACAAATGAATTCGGTAATATTCGGTAAAAAACAAATGGCGCTTTTTTACACAAATATAGCCAAATATGGGAAAACACTCAAAACAAACTTCACACTTTATTTATGGCTGTGATATTAATTTTCTTAAATTTTTTTTCAGGCTCACAACCTGTTAGAATTTATCAGAAAACTCTTACTTATGACTGGTAAAACGACGCTTAAATTAAAACACAAATCAAAATAATAAAACTTGTATTAAGCCTGTTCACACATGGCCTCGTAAGCATAACATAAGCGGAGAGATACATCGTTTTTAATTATTTGCATGCATATAGTGGTGATGGAAATTACTTTATTTCAGATTATGTATTCAGACATAAACTCAGCAACCACTGGAAGAAATTTTCCTAAAAAGCGTAGAAACTACCTGGACATGTAGCAAAGAGATACATTGTTTTAACACGTTCACGCCGGGGTGACCCACCGGTGGGTCACGCTAGAATTGTCTCATCTTGGCAGCGCACCGGAGTCAAAACTGGTAACAATAAATTTCATTTTTTAGTTTTTTTCCGGGAATAATAAAAATCCATAACTACCAATTGTTTTTAACGGATGCAATATTTATATAGAATAGCTTCTTCACCGTGTTAAATCCCACTACG